TGACTATGAACCTACAGGTAAGGTCCTCAGCTGCATTGTATTATCTGGAGAAACACCTTTTTAATATAATTATATGCTCCAATCCCAAGAAAGTTACAAGTCTTAAGAGTTTTTGCTGCTGCTGCTGCTTTTAACAAAAGCAGAAAGCAAGATAGCTTTAGTTTCACCTAATTCAGCTTCTAAGACTTAAAATTTTGTTCAAAGCAGTTTAAGTCCTTTAGTTAGATTTACTGATAACCCAAAAACACAGTTTAACACCACAAAGTTTCTTAGTCTGGTTTACTAATAGTTACTAACAGTAATCTGGAAAACTCTCTGGTAAATACCACGTAATAGCATAAGCACTCAAGTATAACACAGGCAGCACATTTGAGTTCACTAGCTATGCTATCTCATTTCATCTTAATGTGGTAGATACTAATTGTCTAAAGGAAAAAACAAATCACTTCAAATTGCATCAATTTCTATACACAGAACTTCAGGACACTCAGTTGTCTTACATTAAGTTCTTAGTTTTCAAAGAGGAGATACCAGAATTCTAAATATATTTATGGCAAAATACTTCAAGATACTACTAGCAATGACACGCATTTTAAAATAAAACAGAATATCCTTTTCTTTTTTCTTAACTAAATAGTTTATTTTTGCAGTTTAGAAGAATGCATTATTTTCACTCATGGTATTTTATTTACTATAAAATTGGAACCCTCTCTAGGGAGGTATCAGTCATTCAAAAATAGTCAAGCTTATCAGAGTTACTTTGGGATACCACTGAAACGTCAATATTACTAAAATAATTTTAACAACCACTACTGTTTTAATTCAGTTAGTGCTTCCCTAATAGCAAAACTTACCTGGCTCATGAATCATGTAATGAACCCAGCCTAGACTCTGTTGGACACCAAGTCTCCTCCACTCCTCTTCAGACATCAGATGGGTTTTGGGTACTTGTTTGGAAAGTTCTCTGGGTAACATGACATGCCTGTTAAAAAATACAGCAAAATATTAGTGCTCTAAGTGACTATGCCTTTCCTACAATTATGGTCACTTTATACATGCATCTTTAGGATACTTAAAATTTGAGTTCTTTGCCCTTAAAGTTCTTTAAAGCAACCCTGTTACATTACCATTAGCATCAATCTTAAAGACTACTCTCTACTACCTTTAATTCTGATCTTGATGGCCTGTGTTCAAATTAGAGATTAGAATACGCAGTCCAAAAGTAGAAGGCATTTTATTTATGATTAACTTTTTTCCCTAATAGAGACTGCTTGCTAATTGTCTCAATCTTCTTCAGGAATAGAACCTCAAAAACTAAGTGGGACACATGGTTATACAAGACATCCCAGCCTCCCCTGCAGCTACCTCTGGTCACATGTGACTAAATCCTGCCCAACGGGATATAAGCAGAATTTATGCAACTTATGGAAAGTATCCTCGAAAGAAAAGAACATGCCCAATTCTCTTTTTTCTCCTTCCTGTTAGTTATGAAGCAGATTGATATGATCAGGGAGCTAGAGAAACCATCTAAGACCACAGAAGTGATTATAAATTAAGAATGGTCCCTGATTTTAAGAAGTGTCATACTAGCCCCAGGTAGCAGGGCTGGGGGAATCTAGCTTGTTACAGTTAATTTGGGTTTCCTATTACTCTATAGATCTGTAGTAGACACAAGTCCTTGTACATAACTCCAGAAGTTGCTTTATACTTTGTTCGAAATTAAAAGCAAAGAACACTAAATGCACATATACACGTACCCGCTACCTAAAACAGACATTCAGTTTTCCAATAAGTTACTGGCCTATATCCAAAACTTTAATCAATTTTTAAAGAAGGCATGCAATATTCTTCAATGTCAAACCATTAAGAATAGGTACAATTGGAGATTTGAAAAATTCTTAGAAAACAAATATGCACCCCCACCGACTTCTTAATTACAATTGAAAGGATCTTTATAAAAATCAAAATTCCCAGGCTCATTTTTAATCACTTCCAGGAGCAGTAGTTTTATACCGTCATCCATTACCACCAACCAAATTTTTTGACTAGTATTAGATATATGCCTGTGAATTTGTTGGCTGGGGTAAGAAAGGAGCAGTCAGGTCACAGGAAAACTGAACCCATACCCATAATAAGCACTAAACTGTCACCAACTTAAGTTCTAGTCTGTGAGTGGTTGGTTAAGTACCAATTTCCTATAATTTGCATAACAAAATCAAGCCTTAGAACTGTTGTGTTATGTTGCTTGCTGGCCACAAGGCCACCAAGTCAAATTATGCTTACTATCATAGTTGGTAAAAATTTTACCAATTACAGTGAACTACATGATGATTCTTAGCAATACTTACCAGCTAGCTCATTGACTCTTGAAATACTGCTTTAACATCTACTTTTAAGGCTCTGCAAATAGCCTGTTACCTTATTTCTATCCTCTACATAATTGTTGATTAGTCTCAAGAGAAATGTAAAATGCAAACTAGCTTTTGTACTCATATTATGTATGCCATACAAAATGTTCCAATTTATGTCTAGATATAAGTCATATACCTTACCTTCTCCATAAACCATGGAGACAGGCTAACTTCATCAGGATTTGATTACGAGGGAAAAATGTGTAAGTAGCTTCAAACTCAGATGGGAAGTCTACCTGTATTTTTTTCTGCATGGATATAACTCCTCTATGTATTTCTAACTACATGTAAGGAGAACTGTTTCCAAAAATCTAACATTTCAGTACCAAGGGCTTATCATGGAGGGTGAAGAGGGGGTTAAAAAAAGGCCACAGCAGTACAAACAACAAAGGAGCTACTAAGATAACACTGCAAGATACAATTAAATTTCCCTTCTCTGGACATTACTGTCCTGTTTGATAACGGCAAGTGGCTTGGTCAAGAAAGACCAGGTTTCATTAATATTGGATTAGATATTAATTAGATTAATACTGGATTAGATAGTAATTAGATTAAAACTGGATTAGAATATATCATTTCAGATATGACAGGATTTTCTTCTATTCATTACTACACATAAACCACTTAGTCTATTAGGCTAAAATCTTGATAGCACAGGCTAGTTTACTTTGTGCTCATCAATGATTATGCTAGTATACTGAAACTAGAAAATGTAACTACTGCCAGGAAAAGTCCTGAAAAGTACTACTCGGAGCCAGACATGTTTCACAATTAATATTTTCCCAGATTTTTAGAAAGATTGTGGTTTTACATTCTGTCCATTATTGGATAACCCCTGCTGGGCAATGCAGGTATTACTAACCTGCAAAGCTGCCCAGAGAAATCCTCCGTTTTTCTCCAGAGAAAGATTTACAAGATACTAAGAAAAAATTACAAGATACTAAGGGGAGGGGAAAAAAGAGGCCACCCACTGTTATATCCTTTCTAACTCAAATAGCATTCTTGGAAATCTAACGTAAAAGGATAGGAGGCAGAAAATAAGGTCACTATTTGGCCCCTCCTACAAGTTGGTAGTTTCCCAGAATGCAGCATCCTAGTCACCACCCAGGAGAACTGGGTGGCGCTGGTCCTTGAAGCCACACCCCAGCTAAGACTCCTGCATATATTAAAGCTAATGTTAAGTGTTTCTTCCCTCACACAATCCAATTTGCTAATCTTACACATTTAGCAACTATGTTCTAGTGCATCACATAATGATGCAGAAACCAGAAATCCCTCAAAGCCAAAAATTTTGCCGATACACTCTAGCAGAAAAAAATGCCCCAAATCCATTCGAGTTCTCAATTTTGTCTCAAAAGGAAGCCCCTTTAATAATAACCCAAGAGGATTAACACGCACCAGCCTCTGCCGAAGTCGCCATACTCAAGACACATTTCGAATCCCAAGGAAGCTCATTTTAGGGGGACTCCCCTACAAGCTACTTTTTAGGGCCATTAACTTCAAATGAGAGAAAAAGAGAAGTGTTTCTCTGGCGACGTTACCTGAGCAAAATTACCCTTCCGACAGCCCTTCGCCCGCTGTGACTGGGAGGGGGACGTTTGCCTAAATGCGAACTAGGCCTAAGTTCTTAGGAACCGCTGCGATTCGGGCTCTCGGCGTTGCACTTCAGCTACGCCAGGTCCGCTCAGGCCCTCGGCCCCTTCCCCTTAAGGTAGCAATTCTGCACCAGAAGCGGCCCCATCCTCGCCCCAGCCTCGTCCTCTTCACAGACAGGAACAAAGGGCGGAAACCAGCCGGGCCGGCCCTCCAGGCGAGGAGAAGCGCAAGCTCCCGCCCGGGCGACCCGACCCCGACACAACCGCGACTCCCGGCAGGCCCCCGGGCTCGACCCTGACCCTACCGCCGGCCCCCGGCCCCGAGCTCCGACCCCAACCTCAGCCCGACGCACTTGCACCCCGATTCCCGGTCCTGGCCCCTGGTACCCGGCCCAAGTTCCAGCTCAGGCTCGGCCGGGGCCGCGGCTGAGTTAGGCCGTCCGGTCCGCTCACCGGTACTCGTAGTGCTCATCGAAGTACTTGTCCGAGTAGTAGATCTGCTTATGGGCCATCCTGCGGGAGGGCGGTGGGCAGCAAGGGACTGGAGCGACGAGGCGCGAAGAACGGGCGCAGGCGACCGACACGCCCTCGCCAACTGAAGGCAACGACTCGACTGAGACCAACCGACCGTAAGCCAAACGAGTCCGGTTTGAATCCGACAGCCCGCCGCTGATTGGACGACGGTGTTGACCAATCACCTTCCACGCACTCTGCGGATACGCCGGGACCGGCTCCCAGCCTATCGTCGCCGCCCCTCCGTGGAGTTCGCACCCAGATCAGCCAATCAAAGGCCTGTTGCGAGGTCGGCCTAGGAAAGAAGTGGATGATTGGCGTGGCGTGAGGGCGGGGATCTCCCTGACGAAAAGGGGAGCGGCCAGGGAAGGGCGGAGCCGGGACGTTAAGGGCCGTAGAGCGCGTGCGCAGGGGTTTAGAAAGTTCCAGGTCCGCGGAGCCGTTGGGGCAGCGAGCCTGCGGGAGGGGTAAGGTATCGCGGGGTTTGGCGAGGGCGGGGGGTGGGGGCTGCCCGACGAACGGCACTCTGTGCGCAGGCGCACCTTCCCCAGACCCGGCTCCGCGTCTTAAGTCAGTGGGAGGTGAGAAGAGCCAGCCCGTGGTCCTAGACTGTGGGAAACCCAGGCGTGGGAAGCGTGAGGGGAGGAGTATCACCGCGGGCGCCCAAGGCCGGTTTGTGGGAGTAAGGACGGGGAGAAGCAAAAGTTGTGCCCAGACATGAGGAAGACGTCCAGATGTCTCACCGCGGCGATGCGCGCCGCCAGGATGAGTGGGACGTTCCGGAGCTTCGCCACGGAGTGCTGCGTAGATGGCGGTGGGGCCATGGCCCAGAGACCTATGTTAGGTGAAAACTGTCTTCCCATGCCGTTTGCGCACTCCGACAACTCTGTAGATATGCGTGTGTGCGTGTATATGGGAAAATAAAAAGATTACTAAAATAATGATGTTTAGTAGAGGACAATGGGATTAAAAGTGGTTAGCAAAAATTCCTTTGGGGGCTTCCCTGGTGGCGCAGTGGTTGAGAGTCCGCCTGCCGATGCAGGGCACACGGGTTCGTGTCCCGGTCCGGGAAGATCCCACGTGCCGTGGAGCGGCTGGGCCCGTGAGCCATGGCCGCTGAGCCTGCGCGTCCGGAGCGTGTGCTCCGCAACGGGAGAGGCCACAACAGCGAGAGGCCCGTCTATCGCAAAAAAAAAATCCTTTGGCTTCTTAGCATTGAATCCTAGTTTAAAATACAGGTACGTGTAGGGAATTCCCTGGCGGTTCAGTGGTTAGAACTGGGCACTTTCACTGCCGTGTACGTGGGTTTGATCCCTGGTCAGGGAACTAAGATCCGGCATGACTCAGCCAAAAAAAGGAAAGATGTGAATAGCCCGTTAAGGGAGATGGGTAAGGAAGTCACTAACTTTTTGGTGGAACCTGGGAAAGGAAAGCTTACTAAGAGGTATATTTTTACAGAGACCATTGTGGAAAATCTCAAACACAGAAAAGTAGAATAGTAATATAATCACCTTCCAGGTACCAGTTGCTCAGCTTCAGCCATTAACGTTTGGCCCATCTTGTTTCATCTATTCCCCCTTTTTCCTAGATTTTTTTTTTTTTTCCTTTGAGGTACGCGGGCCTCTCACTGCTGTGGCGTCTCCCGTTGCGGAGCACAGGCTCCGGACGCGCAGGCTTAGCGGCCATGGCTCACGGGCCCAGCCGCTCCACGGCACGTGGGATCTTCCCGGACGGGGGCACGAACCCGTGGCCCCTGCATCGGCAGGCGGACTCTCAACCACTGCGCCACCAGGGAAGCCCTCCTAGAATATTTTTAAAGAGATCCCAAATATAATGTTATTTCACTCTGAGATAATACTTCTGTGTATGTCTCTGTACACGGTATACAATCTCAGGAAAAATTTTAAAAATACTTAGCGCCGTGTCATTACTACACTTAGATTCCTCGTTAGTCTCTGTTAGTTGTTTTCTATTTGGTCTCTCCGTCTTTCCTTCATCTGCTTCCCCTTGCTTGTCTTCCTCTACTGGCTCAAGAAGCCAGAGAAAGACTGAAGAGTCCTATATCAATTAACTTACAGCAGTAATTAAAAGTCCAACTCTGGTAGTGGCAGCATAACTTTGTGAATAGGAAAAAACAACTGTATACGTAAGGGTGAACCGTATGTACGGTATATGAATATTTCAATTAAAAACATAAAAATAAAGCTCTAGCCCCAAATGGCTTTACAGAAAAGTTTTACCAAGAGTTTATTTCTTAATTATAAACTCTTCTAGAGCAGAAGTTTATTCTATTAGGCAAGAATAATGTTGATTCAAAAAAACAACATGAGAAAGGAAAGTACCTGTACCTTCCACTCAAATAGATACATGTAAAAATCCTAAATAAAATGCTGGCCAACTGAATCCAATTGTGTTTTTTAAAAGGGTGATATATTATCTTCAAATGCAAGGATAGTTTAATATTAGAAAATCTGTTAATGTAATTCACCACATTAACAGTGGAAGTGAGAAAAAAATCCTCTCAATGGAAGCAGAAGAAAACATTTCCTAACATTCACCACTCTTTTATAATACAAACTGTAAACCCACCACTCACCAGTGATAACACTTAGTAATTAGGAGTAGGAGGAAACTTTGTTAACCTTGTAAAGGTATCTATAAAAAACAATATCATTCTCATGAGGGAACATTGGGAGCATTCTCTTTAAAATGTTCTATTATCTCCAATTATATTGAACAATGTACAGAAGTCTGCCGTCACAATTAAGGGAAGTTTAAGGCAAATTATTTGGAAAGAGAAAACTGTCATTTGCAACTGATGTAATTATATGTCTCAGATTCATATCCAAAGTCTGCTGCATTCCTATATAGCAGAAACAACTAGAAAACCTATTCAAAAAGAAAGTATTAGCATCAAATTCACCTACCTAGGAATAAGCCTAACAAAGGATATACAAAGTGCTGATACGCAAAATTATGAAATTTTGAGAGACAAAAATGAAGACTTGAATAAATGGACAAATATACTATGTTCATGCTTAGGAAGACTCAATATGGTCAAGATATAAATTATCTCCAAATTGATTGTCAAGTCAATCTAATTCCAATAAAAATACCACATTCAAAGGACTTATTTGACTATAATATGGATGAGAAAAGGGCCAAGAATAGCAAAGACACTTTAATGGATTCTAGTAGATCGTGATTTATTAAGAACCTATAGTAATTAAGACAGTGTAGCAGTGGCTTATAAAAATTAAGATACCTTGATAGACAAACTGACTTTGGGATGTAATAACCAGCCCAGTATAATGTTCACTGCAGTTTTGTTGAAGTTCCAGCTACTCTGTCATTTTGAGGTTGTGTGTACTCTTTTCATTACTAATTTGCTAAATTTTTATCATAAATACACATTGTAGTTCACCACATACTTTAAAAGATTTTCTATTTTACATTTGATTATTTTTTTGGAATTATGACTATAAGTTATAAATATCATAAGAGATTAAAGGATATTAGTAATTGCAGTCTTAAGGAAAGGTCAAATAGCAATATTATTGAAAACTAAATAGTTGAAATAAAATATTCAGTAGGTAAACTGAAAGTATTGTGGATACTAATGAAGAACAAATCAGTGAACTAGAACACAGGGCTGAGTAACAGTCGCAGAAACCATCAGTTAGGGGTAGAGATGGAAAACATGAAGTAAAAAGACCTGGAGGCTAAAGGGAGAAGTGATAACATTCGATACAAGAGTCCCATTTGATACAAGGGAGAGAATAAACAGGAGAGGAAATACTATACAAATATAATGGCTGTGAATTTCCCAATTTTAAGTAAAGATAAAAAAGACTTCAGATTGAAAGGGCTTATAGAGTGCCAGCGAGAGATTATAGTGCAATTTAAGAACGTCAAAGAGAAAGGAAAGTTCTAAAAGCTTCCAGGGAGAAGTTGCCAATCACACCTACAAAGCAACAAGAATAGACAATAACAATCTCAAAAGCAACACTGGATTCAAGAAGAAAATGTATTACTGTTCACAAAGTGTTGAAAGAAGGAGTAGAATAAATTCAAGACAATTTAAAATATATTGGAAATAAAGCAAAGTAACTGTACATTTATTGTCTAAAAAAGCAAAGTCTGAATTTACCTAATCATATTGTTACTATTCTTATTGAAATATTTTGTCACTTTTTCATAGGTGAAAAACTGGGTTCTGCTTAAGATTTTTGTCATTTATTACTATGGAATCTTTTAAAGGTTGCCAAAGGATGTGAATGGATGGAGAGAATAAACTGTAAAGGAAAACAGCTTTTAAGAGCAACGTTTCTCAAATTAGGTTCCACAGATGGGAAGGATCCTCAAGTTCCCTGCCAGACTGTTTAAACTTTGCGTTTTAAGTCCATGGACAAATTAATTCTACATCATCTATACGACTTCTTAATTTCAGAGCCCAAGCATGTTTTTTGTTCCTGTTAGTCTTCCTTTAATTGTGTGGACCAATGAGAAACTAACAGAGTTAGAATATGTCAAAGGAAAACAAAAGGTACACTATAGAAAAGTTTTTGCAGTTGTTAGAATAAAGTAATAAAGGATTTGTCTTTTGTTCCTGATCACAAATTCCTAAATGGTTGGGGCCCGTGCGGGGCTGGGGGAGGCTCCCCTTACCAACACCACCAAGCATTTCTCTGACACCAGCTGGATATTCTGCAATTCAGCTCAGTGCTGACACTATCTACCTGGAGATAGCCACAGGTTAAGGCTCAGTCGTACAAGACTGCCCCCGGCCCCACCACACACACAACTTCAGACACCAGTCTCAAGCCCAGTTTTGTTACCTGTGCTTCTGATCGACCGAATACAAACTGGAGGTTCCTACGACCACCTGCAACTCAGGATGCCAATTGCAAGTCCAGATTGTCACCTGAACTTCTGACCAACCAGCTATGGATCAGAGGTTCCCACAACTCCCTCCTCAGGTTTAATTAATTTGCTAGAGTGGCTCACAGAACTCAGAGAAACATGTTACTTCCTAGATTACTGGTTAATTATAAAAGGATTCAACTCAGGAGCATCCAGATGCAAGAGATGCACAGGGCAAGGCATGGGGAAAGGGGACAGAGCTTCCATGCCCTCCCTGAGCTCTCACCAAGCGTCCACACGTTCACCAACCAGAAGCTCTCCAAACCCCGTCTTTTTTCTCTTTTGGGTTTTCATGGAAACCTCCTTACACAGGCTTGATTGACTAAATCATTGGCCATTGGTGACTGATTCAGCCTCCAGCCCCTCTCCCCTCTCCGGAGGTCAGGAGGTGGGACTGAAATTTCCAACACTCCGGTGTTTGGTTACACTGGTAGCCAGCCCCCATTCTTTTTTTTTTTTTTTTTTGCGGTACGTGGGCCTCTCCCCGCTGTGGCCTCTCCCGTTGCGGAGCACAGGCTCAGTGGCCATGCCTCACGGGCGCAGCCGCTCCGCGGCATGTGGGATCTTCCCGTACCGGGGCACGAACCCGTGTCCCCTGCATTGGTAGGCGGACTCTCAACCACTGAGCCACCAGGGAAGCCCCAGCCCCCATTCTTATGTGCATTCCGAAAGTCACCTCATTAACATAGGAGGACACCTTTACTGCTCTCTGGTCTTTGTAAATTACTAGCATTTTAGGAGCTCTGTGCCAGAAACAGGGTCAAAGACCAAATAAGTATTGCTTTTATAAATCACAATATCACAATATGAAGTATCAAAAAGCCCAATAGGATTGGTAAGTCATGCTGGCCTCAAAAAAAAACCATCTTTAAGACTATCACAGTGTGTTGACGGTGATGATTGGTTTCAGCAAAACATCTATCACATTAAAGTCAATTTAATTTGTATTTAAACTGAAGTTAGTTTATCTTGTATTTGACATTTTGATGTTTTGTTTAAAAGGTATAAGCCGTATTCTATTTTTGTATATTTAGGTATATAACGTTATAATAAAGATATGTGGGTTTTTTCCCCTAGTATAATGGATATAAAGTTTACACTGGTGATTGATTGGAGAGATTTACTTCCCTTCAAAAGTGATCTGTACACTTCTTAACGTTTGAAAATCTCTACTAGAATGTGGGGATATCTCCCTCTGGTCGGCTGTGAGCCACAGCTTCTGGGATGCCCTTCACCTCGTGGTCTTGATGCTGAAAACTCAACCTCTGTGCACTGGTGCTGAATCAAATCTCAGAGATGGAGTTTGGGGTGAAGTGAAAAAGAATACCTGCATTGCTTTGCCAGGCAAAGGGGGACACAGCAGGCTTGTGCCCTGAAAAACTGTATGTCCCAACCCGGGAAGATTAGTGAGGAGTTTTATAGCAATGGCTCAAGGGCAGCGTTGCTGATAAGGATCAGGGTGTGTGCAGAGCCTGCACTCCTTTAATCTGGCCTCAGGTGGTTTCCTCCCTTGTCTCTGCATCCCCTCCCTTCCCTGATTAGCAACTGTTCTAATCTGTCCTTTGGGACTCAGGGAAGGTAGTGGAGGTTGGAGTCTATTCCCTACAAATAAGAAATGGGGAAACAGAAAGGCTTCCGTGCCTGGGAGCCCCATAGGGTCCTGCTCATTGCAGTCTCTGTGGGAAGAGCCTCCTGGAGCTCGGCTGCGTGCAGACTACTATGCTGTGTGCACAGGCACTAGCTGCATCCTGTGTTACCTCCTGCAAATCTTCCCTCAAGACAGAAAAATTTCACATAAAGTCCTAACAATCAGAGAGTTTTAGAAGAATGCAAACACTTGAGGGCTGAGGAGTCATCTCAGTTAAATAGATTTTCCTACTAGTTCCCAGCTGAAACATTGCACAGTTGGAAGCAGGTTTTGATTCCGAGGAGGGGAGAAGGAGGGAATAAATTATTTTCACCTGGAGAGGAGGGAAAACTGCCCCAGGTAAACTTCATGGAGAAAGTGATTGCTGCTTCCAGAGGGAGGGATGGAGATTTGCCAAACAGGAAGAATATTCTGGACCAACGTTCCCCTCAGAAAATACAAAAAGAACTAATAATCCTGGGACCATGAACAACAGACCTCAGTCATGGTACTGTGAAGGCCTTTAAAAGGAGGAGGGGGAGGACAGGGGTAATTGTTCATTTATCTGTGCTTTGCAAGGTGCTGGGCAGTGCAGAGAGCTGTAGAGCTTTGCCTCTGGGAATCCATGACCTGGATGCAGTGATGTCCCCATTTCTGAATCTGTTAAATATTCCAGGAAGTCATTTTGGTATGCCAAGTCATATGCAGAAAGTTTTTCTTTATCTTGTTCTGATAGTTTGGTAAAATGTGTGACAATTTTCCACAGGAGTTACTTACTAATTACAAAGGGGAAAATCCTACTTACAAAGAGGAGAAACCGGACACCTTAACCAAGTGATCAAAGGCACATCACCCATAAGAGCAGATGGAAATCACATGCCTTCAGATGTGGGACCACCACCACTTAAGCCAAAAATGCGCAACCTAAATCTACCAGTGAGGAAACATCAAATGGAAGTGGAGTAGTCTTTAAAATAAATGAACAGCAGTATTAAAAATTGTTAATATGAAAGACAAAGGCTGAGAAACAGTTCCATATTAAAGGAAGCCAAAGGGATATGACAACTAAATGCAGTATGTGATCCTGTACCAGGAAAAAGAAAAAAGGCTACAAAAGACGTTTTTAAGACATTTAAAGGATGGTAGGTCATATAAAGTGTCGAAGTTAAATTTTCTGAATTTGATAAGTATACTGTGGTTAGGTAAATAATGTCCTCATTCTTAAGAAATACATACTTCAGTATTAAGGATAAAGGAGCATGTCTGCAACCTACTCTCAAATGGTTCAAAATTAGACATGTACAGGGCTTCCCTGGTGGTACAGTGGTTAAGACTCCGTGCTTCTACTGCAGGGGGCTCAGGCTCAATCCCTGGTTAGGAAAGTTCCTCATGCTGTGAGGTACGGCCAAAAAAAAAAAAAAGGCATGTACTGTTTTACTATATATATTTACATATCTTACATACTATATATATTTTATATATATAAAACACTATAAGTATATACACACAAATACAGTAATTTCCTCAGAATTAGGACATTCTTTAATGTGTCTGTGAATGTATGGAGAAAGACAGAGAAAATGATAAAACGTGATGGAATGTGAAAAATTGTGAATTGAGGTAATTTTGAAAAAAATGTGATTTGGGGGTAAAGGTTATATGGGAGTGTTTTGTATTATTCTTGCAATTTTCCTGTAAATTTGAAGTTATTCCAAAGTAAAACATTTTTAAAAATCAGCATGAATTATAAATTTAAGCATGGTTTTATAAAAAATAACAGTTACCATATGTGTTCCTAGAAGTTCCTAAAACTAGCATAAATTCTGGAGATTTAACATGGAAGCACTTGGCTAGTGGACCCCAGACAGATTCTGGGTCTGTGGGCCCTGTATTCTGTACTCAATGGGAGCTGAAAAATTCTGCTGCACTTCTTCTCCGTTTCTGGTTTTTTTTTTTTTTCGTTGGCTGCTCAGCATGTGGGATATTAGTTCCCCGACCAGGGATGGAACCCATGTCCCCTGCATTGGAAACATGGAGTCTTAACCATTGAAACGTCAGGGAAGTCCCACCTCTCTGTTTTTATACTTGAAGGTAGAGCTCACAAAATCTCCCTGCTTCCTCAGAATACTTTAAATCTAAAAAGAAATGAGGAGGCCACAGGACAGAATGGTCTCAGGACCCCTCTGTGGACCCTTAGTGAACCCCACCCACCCAATGCCCTTTCCTTCAACTGGCACTCTGACCCTGCCAGCAAGTGCCCAAGGGAGCTGCCAGAAGTGCCTGACCCAGGCCAGGTTAAGGGAGAATCAATGACCGTGAATGTCAAATCCATGTCCCCCATGCTGCTTGGGTCTACAGCCCACACCCATCCATGGGACATACTGACATGGGGAATGTGATTTTCCCCATAACTGGTTCTGATAGCTAGCTCAGGGCCGACTGGATTATTGCTCATGGCCCCAGGATTATTAATTTTTTTTAGTTTTTTGAGGGGTATGTTGGTCCAGAATTTCCTTCCTGTTTGGCAACTTCCCATTTCTCCCTCTACTCCAAGTGAAATCAGTGCAGTCCCTCCTTTCTGTTTCCATAGATCTTTCTACTTTCTACCACTAGCCCTGTCACAGACATCTTTCATTTGCGCTATAGAACATGGGACCCTAGACCTCAACCGCCTGAAGAGCACGTGGCCCCATATGAGCAAGCTGTCATCTCTCCTGGAGTCTGGATGTTGAGAGGGACTGAACACAGCTGAAGCAAGTCATGCAGTGGCAGTTGTCCCCAAGTCGTGGGCTGGGTGTCCTTCCCCAAGCCCCCAGGCTGCCCCTCTCCTGCTTTCTGATCCTGTGAGTGACCTGGGGGTAATTCACTTTTATAGATTTAGCCTCCAAACAACCATAATGACTTAAAAAAAAAAAAAAAAAAGGCTTTCAGCAGAAGTGGATTATAGGCCTGTGGGACGTTGGAAGTGTTAGCTGCCTGAGGGACGGCTGTGTCACCGACTCCTGTTCTGTGACAGGCAGTGCACAGCGGACAGCTGGCCTGTTGAG